TTTTCTTCGATGAGGTCTTTTGGGATGGAAAAATTAGAAACGATCGATAGGTGAGTGTGGTGATCTTAGTGACAGTATAGGGTATGACTACCGAATGGGTTGTTAGAGCTCGATGTAGTTAGTTATTAGAGTTTGTGATATGGTGCTATTACACAGTCGATGGTAAGCGTAATGGATGAATACCACAATGGAATTCTTTATATGGTTAATGAGGGTTATAAACCCTAGTTTATGAAATTGTCACATATGTGAGATTGAGCTAACAATTACAGAGTTAATTCGTTTAGCAATTGTATTGGAGAGCTTAATTCTTTTGGTAACAAATGGTTACTTACTTTAATAGCGGTCAAGCGAATGCTCAATATGGTTAGACCTGATAATAAAGCTCCTATTGAACTAAGACAAGTTCTGAGAAATTTGGTATGTTGTCTGTATAGGTTTTGGCGAAGTGATAAGTTGATAGGCAGTGCATAGCTAAAAGTCAAAGAAGAAGTTAATTTTCACTAACTGACCAGGTGAATATGTGGAGTTTGTGGGTACATAATAGAGTGAGTTTTTTATGTGAATGTATGATAGTAAGCATGACTTTTATGTGAAAATGTTTTAATGCTCGAGTCTCCGAGTGTTTATTGATTTGACAAAAAAGAATATTATAATAGTATGTTTTGAAATGTTAGCATGCCATGTTTTTTTGAATGATTTTAAAAAGGAATTGATAGTTGCTTGGTATATGAATGCATTCATAGTTTTGGTGATAAGGTCTAGACAGGTCCCCGTAATGGGACAAGGTAACACTACTGGGATGATACATCCCGTCGCAAAGTAATGACAAGGGGTATAGATTCCCCTCGGGGTAATGAGGTGATTTGTTCTCCTATTGTCATACATGAGCCAATAGTTTACCGTCTATGGGCATAGATTCCTTGAGTACGCAAGTTATTTGCATGATTTCTTTTTTTGGGGTATAGAGTACATGGGAAACAAATACCTACGAGGTTTATGTTGATGACTTTCTTGAGTTTTTTAAAGTTGCTAGAGTGTTTCAAATGTGATTTTGAAAGCATGTTTAGAACTTTTTATAGGGTAAATATCATGTAGCTCACATGTCTTTTGACTTTTCAATGGTGGTTTCTTGAGATCTATAAGAACAAAAGAAAGTAGGGGAAGAAAGGTAACTAATGGCTTGGACGTTTTCTAGAATCCGGAGGCCAAATTAACAAAATGTAAAAAAGGGTAGTTTATTCCTTTAATTTAAATTTTTTATGAGCCAAAATAAATTTCATAAAAAAGGATTTAGACGATTTTTAAATACTACTACTAACCAAACACAAGTTAGATTCTAAATTATTCGAAATCCAAATTCTTCAAAATCTAAATTCATTTCATAAAAAACAATGCTATAATCCAATGCCCCTTTCAAGGGTTTAAGACCTTGCAAGTATCCCCTTATCCATAATTGGTGCCTTAACTTAGGTTTTCTCGTAATCTAACCCAAGATGGACAATTTCCATTTAAGGTCTCTACTTTACCCTTTGAACCCTAAAGTTTCGTTATCTTAATGTTAAGGTCCCAAAAGTGGACGATGAAAATATGCGAAAGTACCTTAAAACTTCTAACCAAGTTGTGGGTGTTAAATGTTCTAAAACTAATGTAAACCTAATTTAAGCATCCCAAATTAAAGTATGGAGTCAACACCTTGAGATGTTCGAAAAACAAACTGCTTATCACCATTAACTCTCAAATCCAAATTTGTTTTGTTCTTCCATTGATTCAGTTCGATCCCTCAAGAAATTTATCTTTCTCTCTTCCCTTTTTTTTCTGTAAATAATTTAGAGCCCTAAAACCCAAAAAGGTTTTATCCCCAACTATTATCAACCAAAATTTCACATTAACAGGGTGTTTGGGATTTCATTTTGAATCCCAAAAGAACTTTTTAGACAAAAAGACTTATTGACTTATGAATGTGGGAAATGAGTTTTTAAAAATGTGTTTTGATTAACTTTTATAGTGACAAAAGTCAATAATTCAATAAGTTATTTTTAAAAAAGTATTTGGCTTAACCTATACATGTAAAATGACTAAAAATGAATCCTGACTTCTTAAAATCTTTTTTTTTCAAACTAATAAGTTATAAGTTGTTTTAAGAAGTTAGAAATCATGACTTCTAAAAATCTTATTTTCAAAGAATTAACAAGAAGTTGTTTTAAAAGTTCTCTTATATACCCAAACACATTTTTTTAATTTATTAACTTTTCAAGAAGTCAATAAATTAATAAATCATTTTTAGATGAAATCCTAAACACTCTATAAGCCACATACTTAAATTAATCTTAGTAATTCCCTAAAGCTTAAAAGTCAATCCATCACTTCGCAAAAGAATCAATATGGTTATCATAAATTACCGACTTTCCCCATTTATAGTAATTAAGGTTAAGTACCAAAATAATAATGTACTTTTAATTGCCAACATTCCCTAATTTTCATCATAGAGAAGTTTCCATCATGAATCAACACATTTGTTTATTTATTTACATCCATTTTAATAGTAAAACCCAAATGTTCATTTTTCACATTGTGGTCAGAGAATGTCTAATCGTAAAGCTACAAGCGGGGAAGCGCTAATCAATGGTATTTTAGGGATAATGTTGCCTCATTGATACGTGGAATATTTGTGCAAATTATAAGAGGGATTTTATGGTTCTTTGTGATGTACTCAAAGAACTATTGTGAGGATATTCGATCTCAAGCTCTAGTTTGGTCTCTTGATTTTCATAGATTTCAGACCTACAATAACATGATTACACACCATTGTATGTTTGTTACTTCAAATCCCTTGTGTTAATCTATAGCTAGTATTGTGCAATTGATGAAATATTGGCCACTATAAGCTTCAATGTTGTTTTGGTTTTTGCTGCATGTTCATAATGGTTATGACTAATTCAAAACCATAAACCATACTTTTCTTGAACCATAGTATACCTCTTGATTATCAGAATTTCTCTACACAAATAGTTATGACTAATTCAATGTTGTTTTGGGCTTTGAATGAGTGACCCCCACCTCTACCAATGATTTTTATGGATAGTGCCTAAGTGATCTTGTACAATGATTTTCGCTCTACCATAAAAAGTACTTTTAGTCGACCATATATTGACGTGATTTTGAAAAGGTGGATTTATCAAAGTTTTAGGTGAATTAATTCAAACCACCATGTTCACTTTTGTTTCTCTATTCCTTAACTTTTACCTTTATTTCATAAGAATGAGATTGTTTTTTTTTTTTTTTTTGTTATTTAAAAAAAATCAAGTTATGGTTGTTTATTTCTATCAGCCGAATTTTATGGTGTGCAAAAGCTTTATATTTTCTTAAAGTATCAATTGCAACTCCCCAAGATGCACTTAGAGACCAAGATTCAATCAGTAAGGTCCTCGACCAAGGTTCATTAGGCCATGGGGTATGGTGGAATAACGTTCATATATACATTTGTTGTTGGAGGTTGTAATTATATATATTTATTAGTTGTACGTATATATTACGATTATTATACAAATAATAAATAGAATGATAAAAGTGATACTTTTTATATATTATTGAAGTATTTTAAAGTTGAACTGTTTTCTTTTCTATTGACTATAAACATACTTTTCGTACAAGTTTTTACAACTCATTATCATATATAATTCCAACGATTACCCTTTTTCTATTATGAATTTATGGTATTATCAACAACGACCATATGGGTAAAATATTTTCAAATAGGATAAAAAGAGTAAAATAATAATTTTTGTCATTCCTTATATAATTCACTTTATTATAGTTAGTATGAAACTGATTATCCAAAACTAGTTATCTGTCTCACAAATAATCATATAAGTATAATCTTAATTACTTTATCTAAGCACAAACAACAAAATCAAACAATCATCTTGATACAACAGCCAAACACCCCTTAATGTTACTATAAATAAATAAAAAGTTCTAAAAAATAATAAACCAAATTAAAATATTCACAAGGTATTTATTTTCGAAGGTATAAATTCTCAGCACTTAGGCCTTATCTAAATTATATACCTCAAGGCCTTATCTAGATTATATATATGTTATCACTGTATTAAGAAAAATTACGTGTTTTAGAATTTGTCTTATTGAAATTTGCTATTGTCGTGCTTTTGACATTTTGAAAACGCTTGCGTGATAAATTTAGTGACAACTTTTAAAATCTGATATTGGTTTCAAATGAGTTCAAGGTGTAACCGACTTCATTATTTGTATAACATATTTTTATTCCCGTAAACATGTTATACACATTATAAATTCCTTATGTTTCTTTTATTTTTATTTTAATATTCTTGTTGACAAATTTAAAATTTAATTATTGCAAACAATGACTCAATTGAAACAACGTATTTCCACCGACTAATCCCCCTTTTTTCATCATGTTATGTGTCAAACTAAAAGGCCAAATTTAGCACAACACATACACACCCTTCTTACAAATCGACACATCAACTTCTAAACAAATGTTCATATGATTTGAAGGAGAAAAGAAACCAAAAACTACCAAACCATGTTAACTTGTATCAAAATAATCTGTTCAAACAAACTCACCCAATGAATGTTGGTATGTATGGGGTATACATATGTTAGTTTTCTAATAATTATATAATTTCATGTAACTTTTGTGTAATCTATATGGTATAGTGGTAAAAGTAGACTACTGTTTAGTGAGTTCTAGATTATATCTGAAATTAACTGTTTTCAGTTAAATTTTAAAAAATCACAAAAGTAAAATTTAAATCTTTAATGTTTAAATCTCTTCAAAAGAATTTAACCGATCAAGATACAACAGCTATAAAATTTAATTATTCTTTAATAAATTTATCAAAAGTATCAAAAATAAAAATATAATTCTTCCTTAAAACACAAAAATGTACATGATTTAAATGCACATGATGGGCACGTGACAAACACCCAACATGAAAACATCATCTTTCTTATCACGTGAAATATAATTGCCTACATTCATTTGTATATGTATAAGATGTGAAAAAGTATGGCAAATAACATTTGTATCATTTCAATATATATATGCCCCATTTTCTAAAATCTATAACTTTTACGCCCAAAAATATAAATTTAAAATAAAACCTCCGTGTTTTGTCTCGGTCAAGCAAGACTACGTATGTGTACTATACAATAGTGCAAAAATGCCTATTTCTGTGATGACAACGAATCTCGTGGGGTCTGATCAATCAGTGTGCTGTTAAATCTGTCATTCGAACTGTTACAAATGCATCCTGGAAACGGATTCGCGTAAAAGTTCTCTTCTACCCTTGGAGACTCTCCTACTTTCCTCTCGGATGGTGCACCTAGTCGGTCTTTATGAATATTCTTGACTCGAGAACTAAATGCGTCCCATGATATCAATCCATTGTCCAATCGATCTATCATCTTTACAAATTGTTGCCTGAAAATCAAAGAAACCATCATTAAGTTACAACGTATGTTTCTGCAAAACAGTTATTCTTCCAGAAAACCCTGGTTGGACAGGTACTGTCCAAAAGCGTCATGTCATATGTAAATTATGTATATAGCTAGTGCCCACAAGTAGCCAATCCACATTGGAACCGTAGTTTCTACACTGTGACTGTTGAGACTGTTGACACTGCAAAAATACCTGTTAGGGCTAATCGTTTTACGGAACCCTTCAAACTTCCGATGCCCTTGTACCACTTTCGCCATATTTCCATCATACGTATATACAAACACATCGCTCTCAAGGGCAACAACGTAATCAACCGCCGCAAGACGGTTTTGATAGTTCTTAAATGTATCCAACTCTTCTTGAGTCATAAGTGTGCTATGTGAAAAGACGTTTTTGTACTCATTTCGAAAGGCATCCATGCTTTTACTACCGTATATTTCTCCCGCGACTATGTAAATACTTGTGTTTGGAGGGTACCCCATGGCTTTAAGGAACAAAGCAGCCTCTCTAGGTGACATGGGGCATCCCCCTTGTTGTCTCTTTTCTTTACTGTTTATTTCCTTTTCTTTCCAATGTTTTACACCGTATCTCATTGCTCTTAGCTCTTGTGCTTCATCTGTTGTTAAGTTGTGGCTGCAGCCTGTGAACGCAAGCATATCTTTTTCATATCTGCAAAGTAAATCAAGAATCAGTTTTGACTTTTAGAGTCGAAGGAACCACATTTCATATGCAAAATTAAAGGTCGAATTTATGGCACTCATAAAGATATGCGATAGAAAGAACTGGTTTTAAAAAAGTGCTATGTTTGACTCCAATCGCGAGTTTCAGAGTCAAAAGGGACACATTCCATCTTCAAAAATGATATCGAATATCATGTACCGATGCAATTGGAAAGTAATAAGTTTGACTTTGAAAGTCAAACCCAACAAAACTATCATGATTTGAAAAGATATTACCTCAAATGTAGAGCGATAAAGGGTTCGCCATTGCTTCTTAGTCTTGAAACCAACTTTTTTCCGAGCTCTTCAATCTCCTCAGAATAACGAAGGGCCTCATAATTGGCTCGACATCTAAGCTTTTGAAAAGATGACGCGAGTCCATTGTTGACTAGTCTTGAATCGGTATGTGTAAACTGAATTACTTTGTGTTTTTTTAACAAAAAAGACATCTCCCCTCTATAGTAACTTGCCTACATTCAGTATATTGATTTAAGTCAAAAGAACAAGAAAAAAAAGTTGGTTTTGGGTTTGAATTAGATGATTATATACATACACACCTTTGACCATGAAATAGGAGCCTTGAAATGTGGTTTTTTTGTTGCGAATTCAGGTGGTAAAGATTCTATGATCTCAATATCGTCTCTTAGAACTTCCATGAAATGCCTCCAATCGAAAATGTCCTTAAAATCACTTCATACGAAGAACATTATTAAGATGTGTGGATATATGATGTTTAAAATGTATTTGTAAAAGAATTAATCATTTTATTTCGTACCTTGGATCGGTCCAAAAAGATTGATGATCAAGTGAAGGAAGGACCAGGGTGGCATTCATAATCTTGGCAATAGCAACCATGTCACATATCTATCATGATAATAAGTTAGAGATTTTCCAAAAATAGAAAGTTTTATTTCGTTACACTAATATGAAAATACATATGATTTTTGATCGACAACTCACCCCGGTTCTCATTTGATTTAATCCACCGTTGGCATGAACAAGAAGATACCCATTTGTCGCAGAGTTTGTTTCTATAAGATAACGAATAAATAGTTTAGAAAATGACATTAATATTCGATATTGATGGTGAATTATGTGATAAAAACAAGAATAATTTCGACTACTAACTTATACGGTTTTTGGGTCTAACAATGCATTGATGATAGTCATTGCTGTTTGGTTTCATCCAGATTTCTTCAACCTGTGGGATAAAAACAAAGAAATTACACAGGTTAAATCACCCTTCTATATTGCTCCATGTGTCAAAATAAAATTGCGTTTTTTAATTTTTACAATTAAATTAATCATCTGTTTTGGAAGTTTATGAGAATCCTGAAAGAAATCTAATAAAAAAAAATAGCCTCCTATGTTCCATTTTTTTATTATTTAAAAAAAATGCGCTTTTAAAGATTAAATTAATAATTTTTTTTGGCATTTTATGACCTCAAAGAAATCTACTTATCTACCCACGATAATAAGAACTTTCCATTCTAACGAGGGTAAAAAGGTAATTTCAGGATCTAGTAGTGGAAAGGCCATAAAAGATAATGGGTAGAAACCCAATTTCAATTTTCACCTGAGCTTGACTTTATGGTCAATTGCCAAACGTCAAAATTCTATAAAGACTATATTTCATTGTTGATGCCCACTCCTTGTTCTTGACCAAATCAAATAAAAAATATATAAATATAATTCCATTAAAATATCCGATGATTTATGATTATAACCCAATAAAAAATTGAACTAAAAATCAATCTCGGTAATTATGATTTTTCAATATTGGGTTTGAGTAGAAACCCACAAAATATGAAATTTAAAGACTCGATTTTTCAATTTAAATAAACTCGAATCATTAATTAAAATCTAAACCACAAAACCCAGAAGATTTAATCTTAGATCATGATTTTGTATTTCTATAAATCAAAATTTTTCGATTTAAGGATATTTCGAAATGGAAAAAAGGAAATGAGAAAAAGATGTATGCTTACAGAATGCTTCGAGTATTTTTCAAATGCTCTCATGGGCATGGAAGAATCAATGTCTGATAAAACTCTCTGCGCCTTAACGGAATCGCGTTTATAGTCCCTCAAGATGAACATTCCGGCGTTATAACCACCTTCCGCCTCCGCCACGTGACTCCCCGCCATATATGCAGTCTTCAGAAAAACCGTAAAAACCACCAACACAATCAGAAACCCAAACAGGGTACGCCCTAGATTTTTTCCTTGTCTCAAAGACTTCAAAATCCGTTTTTCCGGCGACCCTTTTCGTAGAAAGAAGTAGTTGTTATGGTGGTGGTGGTGGTGGTGGCAAGTGGCGGTACAACACCCTAAACAGTTAACCGTCGTTTCTGAAACATAATCTAAATAACCATTACACTGATACCCATTTGGGGTTTCGGTAGGCGGCGACTCTATCGTCGGAACAACCGAGTCAGGCATTAGTTCCGGTATACGGCGGCGATGGGTTGACTGTATGCCGATTCTGGGACTGCCGGCGATGGGGTTCGTAGTGGCGCCACCGGTTGACATCCAAAAATAACGATCACACAGAAGAAGAAAAAAGAAGAAATTTAAGGAAATATCGAAACAAACCGCAATGTTTCGGATTAAAAACCGGTGATTTGGGCTGTTATGATTTGTGATATTTATAAAATCATTTAGGGTTTATTTTTTTTTCCTCAGCGTGTGGAATAAAAGTTGAAGAGGGCGGAATACAAGGCTGCCATTTTAGTCCATGTGGCTGCCAAATATGATGTCGTTTGGGTGTATTTATAGTCTCCTCTGTGTCTAACAAAACAGAATATCAGACCAATTCTCTCCAATATTTTTATTTTTTATAATAAAAAGGTTGTTTGTATTATACTTTAATATTTGTACCTTGTAAAATTATTTTTTATAATAAAAAAGTTGTTAAAGTAATGCCCTACGTGTCCCTGATCATCATTATATAAGGGAAGAAAATTTTATCTGGCCTTGTGTTAAGGTTGTTATATTTTATTATGGGAACGTTTTATAAAAACATTCTATCTTTAGTGTATATTTAGTTATCATTAGTAATGTTATAAGATATATATGTTTGTTTGGGTGAAAAGTGGAAATTGTGTAACACATCATATGTTTTTTATATGAATTGCGGTAAATTTGAAACTGATTTGAATAAGTATAAATGCATAATTTTATCTTATATGTACATATTATAAAGACTATCGGATTACCGTTAATAACTTATAAGGTAATGATATTTACCTTTTAGTCACTGAAAGTATTTTTTTGCGTGATTTATCATTAAATTCTTTTAATATGTTTAAAGAATATATATCAATATAACTGTTTATTGTAGGTATAACAAGTTATAGTGATGATTTGAAGTAAAATGGTTAAAAGCTTAATACATGGATATTACACCTCATTTTAGGGGTTGTTTGACAAAGCTTAAAAAAAAAGGAGTTTTTGACTTATTACCGGTTTGATACCGGTATAAGTCAAAAAAATTGTTTGGGTAAAAAACAACTTATAGCTGTTGGTAACCTCTAATAAATCAAAAAATGATAAGTAACCTACCAATTACTTATTAAAAACTTATTATTTCACCAAATAAGTTATAAGTCAAAAAGTCATAAGTCTTTTCAAATAAGTTTTGCCAAACACCCTCTTAAAAAGCTTACATAGATATTACGAGAATGCTATTTCATTAGGCTTATTAAATTATGGCACAACTCGTTCATCCCCTCCACAACCGTCTAAAATTTCCTTGTAACAACCAAAAACTTGGATTTGGATGTTTAGAAAGTAAGAAAGAAGTAAACAAGTGAGAAAAATACAAGAAAATTTAATAAGAGATAGTTGGTCAAAAAGCGTAATTTGATCATTTTACATTACCAACAAAGGAAAAAAAATATTACAGTATGATAGTTATTTATTTATATTAATATAAGTCAACTAATTCATTGGATTGTTTCTACCTTACACCAACGTTGGATTATTTATATTAATATAAGTAAAAAAACATGACAACATAGTTATTTATTTATATTAATATAAGTCAACTAATTCGAAGCGCTAACTTGTTGTTTCTGCCATACACCAACGTTTTCAAACTCATAGGTGAGTTCATTGGATAACTTGTTGTTTCTACCCTACACCAACGTTGGATTTATTTATATTAATATAAGTCAAAAAACATGACAAAATCGTTATTTATTTATATTAATATAAGTCAACTAATTCGAAGCGCTAACTTCGCGTTAGTTCTTTCGGGATCAACAGTCATAGCTCGATTATAAGAACCCATCGTAACTTTGTCAAACTAAAACTAGCTATCATAGACTACTATTAGGTTTAATCCAACTAAGTAGTGATAGTACTCACAAACTCGAGGAAGCGAGTTTAGATCAACCAACACTCAACTATCTTAGACTCCCACTAGGTACCTATCTATGGAAGTAGTGATAGTACTCACAAACTCAAGGAAGTGAGTTTAGGATAAAGAAAACAACTAAAATACCCACACATGTTTTATAACAATAAAACCTATGGACTCACCAACATTATGTTGACCTCTCAAACCACATGTATTCTCAGGAGAATGAACTCGTCCAAAGAAAGAGATAACTCCGGTGATGCAGTCTGGAACCTATGTGATTTGGTTTTGTACTTTGCTTTCGTAAACTACATGTACCTCGAACAATTATGTAATATATTTTATTCAATGAATAAATAGCTATGTTGTTTAGTACATCATGTGTATTATTCAATGTGTATCTTGGCATGAGATCCCAACATCCTAACGTCGCACAGCCTGACGCTTCCGCTGCCGGCTAGGGGTGTGACACATCTTGCCTATGTATTAATGATTAAGTCATTTGTACATCATAAAAACTAAAGGAAAGCTTATTTAGATATCTAACATCTTCATTACTCAATACGATCTTAGTAACTTCCATGTTCATTACCAAACATTCCATTCCCTTAATAAGCTTTATGATACTTTTAATAATCAATTAATAAACACTTAGATCTCTTATTATACCTCGGAATTCCCAATTCCATCAGTTTCATGTGTTGGAATATGATTCTTGAGTTTACGAACTATAAATCCCATTTAACTTGTAAAATCATATTTTGATAAATCAATCATTAATAATCCAACAAACATATGATCTAGTGTTTCACTTAATGATAAATTAGGGATGAGCGTGGGACGAAACCGGTACCGACCCGTACCGTTGTAACATCCTGTTTATTAATAAATAAATTGATAAAGATTAATAAATGATCAGTAGCCCTAAAATCCATAATATTTATCGGGGTGTTGGTTTCGAGGAGTCAAATGACATGATTTGGAGTTTCGGGGATTAAAGTGTAATTTCGGGAGTTCTTTTGTAAAGATTTTCAGTAGTTAGGGGGTGTTTGGTATCATTTGGACTTAATATGAAAGGATTTATGGAAGCAGGGGTTAAAGAGTAAGTTATGGACCTAAGTTGAAAAGGTTTCGTAGAGGAGGGGCCATTTGGTAACATTTGGACTTAAATTGAAAGAAAAAAAGAGAAGGAGGGACCATTTGCGTCATTATGGGATGTAGATTATGTGAGTCGGGTATATAACGTCAACCCCTCCGTAACCCTAACCCTAGACACTGTCCAGCCGCCACCCTCACCTCACCTCCCTCCAGCCGCCACACCACCCCTTCACTCTCGTTCTCCGGTCGGCAAGACAACCGACAAACACCGCTACCCCCTGCTGACGAAGTCGAAAACCACCGTTGAGCTCCTGTTGCTGGCGACGACGAGGACCACCGAGAAGAGCCATTGAAGACCGCAGTTCTGTTGATGCCGCTGCAGGACTACTCCGACGAGATCGTGACAGCTTCACTCGCTTCTCCTCCGTTCTTCTGTGCTGTCTCGGTTGGCCGATGTCCGTCCGCCGCCGCTACCGCCGGTTGCTATCGGGGTTGTTGTTGTCGTTCGTTGTACGCCACCAGGTGGGTGGTAGCGTCCATATTTCGTGTCTTGCGATGTGGATACGCGTGGGGGTGGGCCTTCCGTCGAGTAGAATCCATGAAGAACCACCATAGCAGCCGGCCATGGTGGCTGCCGCCGATGACGCTGCATTGCCGACCGACCGCCGCTGCTGCCCGTCTTCTTGTGTCACTACCACAGCCGTACGCCACCAGGTGGGTGGCTGGACTCATTTACGAACAAAAGAGCGTGTATGTGTGGTTAGTTGGCCGGAAATCACAAGAGAGCCTGTCACAACTAGCACTTTTGGCTAGAAAATTCCGTCCTCGGGTAAGTAAGGACTATTGTGAGATTTGTGCTAACACTCCTAAGTGTTCAATATGAGTTCCTAAGGAGCCATAAAGTGTTAGAATGCAAATCTCTCCAAGTATGTGAAATCTCTCCCAAATCTCTCTAAATATGTGAAATCTCTCCAAGTATAGTGAATCTCTCCCAAATCTCTCCAAGTATGTGAAATCTCTCCCAAATCTCTCCAAGTATGTGAATCTCTCCCAAATCTCTCCAAGTATGTGAGCTTCATACCCCACCTTTTCAATGTTTTAATGTTTTTGGGGGAGAGTACAAGTCAAATCTTGCCTAAATTCTTAAATGATTGCATATATACGTATGTTTGTATGTGTGTGTGAAATATTATTAAATTAATATTTTAGTAATATACTCATGAACGTAGAAATTCTCAATTTCATAACGAACAGAGGATACTTTGTACAAAAGAGCCTCCCAACTATTGGGTGTGTCCAACCTAACCCCTTTATCTATGCTTTCATGTCTAAAGATAAAAGTTAAAATAGGGATCTTGATAAGTGGACACCATTTCTAGTAAATTTTCGAAAATGGAAACTTTGTGACTATTTTGCAAACTATCAGGGAGTATTTTATAAATATTCAATATAAAAGTTTGCGTCAAGAAAATACACAAATAGAGCCTTTATGACAGAAATATTCGCATGTCATAAACTGCTGTCATAAAACCCCCAAGAACATAAGTAATGTTCTATGTGTCATAAAACAGAAAATGTGTGTCATAACCGGCAGTTATAAATTTATAGAAATTATAACTTGACACTTTTTCTCTTGACTAAAATGACTTATTTTTCAATAAACGAAAAGGAACGAACACGAGCACCTAGTTAACGAGCACAATCAATGATATGGAACGAGAACGATATTTCTATTCAATAAGTACGAGTTTCATTATTTATCTAACAAATAATGGATCTCTAACGATTGCTCAAAAGGTTGTTAATATTCTAGTCAGACAAATCTCAAAAGTACCTAAATATAAAAATATTAGTGTGCGTCTAAGTCCTGTAAAGAGTTATAGTCAGAGTCTCCTGGAGGGAGAGCGGAAATTTGTGTATAGATCTATACGGGGTTGACACCCCGCACCTTCGCTGTCCTATACATGATAAGTGATGGTCCACATTTGTTGCGTTGACTGTCCTTTTTCATCGCGTAGAATGTCCACAATTGCCATGTTGATTCTTTCTCCTAACAAGTATAGAGTCGTAATACTGCTATTTTCACAAATTAAAAAGCGTAGGACTCTATGGAAAACGATTTTCTATGATTTCGATAACGATAAACTAGAACTTACGATTATTTTATAGCAGAAAATATAGGATTTTTCTGGAGATAACGATTTTCTACGATTTCGATAACGATAAACTAGAACGCACACTCAATTTTACTCGATAAGAGAAACAAGAATTTTCAACTATATTCACTTTTTGAAAATAAGGGATTTTTCTGGAAACGGTTGACTATTACTATTCAAAAGAACTATTCTCGTACACAGCTCGCTTTTACAAATCACACTACTTTTCAAAATCACTCCTTATAAGGATGAATAAAAGTAATGACATGCACACACATATTCATGATTTTCAAGGCAAGACTTCAAACGATTTCATAGAAAATATCGGATTTTCTGAAAGTACGATAAGAACGATTCTAAACAAGTGTAAACGATTTTATACACAAAACTGCTTATGAACTCACCAACTTTTTAGTTGACGCTTTTCAAAACAACTTGTATTCTCAGGTATCTAGTAAGCAGGTAACAAGGGACGCGGATGCAGGACTATTTAGCTGTAGTTTGGAATTTCTACTTATGTCTCTTTTATATAACTCGAAGAACAAATACAATATGTAAACAATGTAAGTTTGTTATCTCAATGTATGATGTTTGGATTGCTCTGTTTCATTTATATTCAATTGTTATGATACTACACAATGAAGTCACCCGCCTCCGGACGTTTCCGCCGTCTCGTCCGGGGGTGTGACAGAGCCACCACCACCACCGTGAGGTGGTGGCTAGCACCTTCGACCACCGCCTACCGCCACAAGGGCGGCTGTGTGTGTATTTTATTATGTGTGTTTATTTTGGATATTCATTATATGGATGTTGTATCATTGTATTGTGGCCCAAATAATCAAGGAAAAACCCATAACCACCTCCGTGAGGTGGTGGCTGCCGCCTCTGCCGCCAGCAGCCGCCGTGTTGGGTGGCGGTGTGCATTGTGTGTTTGGATTGTTAGTTTAGATGCTTGGACATATTTGGCCTAAATTCATAAGCACCACCACGAGGTGGTGGCCGCCGCCGTGAGCCGCCGTTGACCGCCACTACCCGAGGTGGTAGTGGGTGGTGCCTGACTTATTTAACCCAAATTGACCTAATGAAGCCCTAATTGACCTAAAAACCTAACCATTTGACTAATGGGCTCGCGATTGGGTTGGAAACCCTAATTAGAGTTTAGAAAACTCTGATTTTGGATTTGTTGGTTTGGGCTTATCGGGACCCGCGTTTTGGGCCATTGGAATTGAATTATGAGTTATACCCAATCACACCGTATGATTTATCTAGTAGAGTGATGGACTTAATGGATTAAGTCCTTCATGGGTTAAGTAAGAAACACTTAACCCTAATCATCATTTTATGTGAAAACCCTAATTTTGCTTGGGCCTTGAGTTGGGCCCTTCTATTGGGCTTTGGTGATTGGGCTATTGATGGGCCATCCAAGAACAAGTATATGTACTAGAATATTTGGATTGGGCTTTAGGATAAAGCCCATTGGAAAGGCTTGGGCCCATTTTGGAAAATTAGGCCATAGGTGGGCCATAATTGGGCCTTTATGATTATGAGATATTGGACCATTCGAATGCCAAGTGTTTGGACCAGAATAAATGGTTGGACCTTAAGGTAAGACCATGTGAGGGGTTTGGGCCCAATTTGGAAAATTGGGCCATATGTTGGGCTTTGGTCTATTGTTTGACTTTTTGGGCCTTTGGAGTGTGAGCTTGGGCCTTGGGCTTGAATCAAGCTAGGTTAGGGGTAAAGTAGTCCTTTACCCCAAGCATGGACTTATGATTATGTGTTGGAACCCAATTATTAATTGGGTGTCGTTTTGATGTTGACAGTTCGGGAATCTGTCATCCAACAGCTAGAGTTTATCCGCAGGACTTCAGCAGTGAGTTCTTCTCACTATATCAACAGGGTCTAAGGCATCAATGCCGACCCTTTTCAGATTTGTATCCGGGTTTATTGCATGATATGCTTGTTGATTTGCATCATGGTAGTTAGGATGGTGATATGCTTAGTGACCTGGTAGTTTGGTATCCTGGTATATAGGATAATGTTATGTTAGTGACCGGTTAGGTCGGTATCCTGGTATATAGGATGTTGCTATGATTAGTGATATGTTAGATCGGTTTGACTGTTATGTATGCTAGCGTATGATATTTATGTGCACATAATTGTTTGATTGGGGGTTGGGTTGAGATAGGTCCTGCTTTGTGTTGTAGGCCAACATACCCAGGGCGGTCCAGATAGACTGCCGACCCGGGAGGGCATACTAGTCAGGCCAAAGGCCCGACGAGCCGTCCGGATAGGCTGAAGTCCCTGAGAGGCGGTCCTGACATGCCGATGGCTCGGAGAGCGGTCCAGATAGACTAATGGCCCTGCGAGGCGGTCCAGTCAGGCTGATGGCTCATTATGCATGCTGTTTGTTTATAGGATATGGTTATATCTGTATGGCGTTGGTATTTTGGGGGAACTCATTAACCTTCATGCTTACAGTTGTTGATTATGTTTGAGGTACTTCTGATGATCGCGGGAAGGCGAAGGCGTGATCGTGCACCTCCTATATTTTTATGATTTGATTCTGGGATACTCTGACATGAAACTATTTTGAAAACAAATTTGTAATAATGATTGGTCTTTATATGTTTTAAAAAGTTTTAAATTGGCATGATTTTTATGGGTGTTACAACCGTTCCTAATTTTTTGAAAACCGAATTTGGTCAAAAGTCAATCCCGAGTACCGAACCGAATTAACATCACCGGTACCGGGAATGGTACCGGTTTTCGGTACTAGTACTGGTACCGGTGGTACCGATTCCCGAATTTCATGTATTTGGATTACCAAGTACCGTCCTATATTGTTAAATTCGGTACGGCTCGGTACCGGTTCCGGTACGGTACCGGTACGGGATCGGGATTTGGGACAAACTTCTCATCCCTATGATAGATTACATTCCTTTAACAAACCAAAATGAAGTTATGCATTCCAAATCTCATGAATAGCTATTGGAAACCTTGATCGTGCTTGAACACATATGTAACATCCATTTTCTGGTATTTATTTGTGTTTGCCTTAATCTGTTTAGTTTATTGAAAACTGCAACTTGTGATTTCAACCTAAAAGCGTGAGGCACTTTTCTGAAGTGTGCGCGGGGCGCTTTCCAGCCCAGCCCAATTATGGTTTTTATTAGGGTTTAATGAGTACTGAAGCACACTTATGGCCTAGGGTTTGATCATTCTCAACCTCTTTCACTTATAAATAAACCCTAGCTAAACCTTGGCTCACACACACACACACACACACACACACTCTCTCTCTCTCTCTCTCTCTCTCTCTCTCATTTGGAGCTCAAAATCTCTATTGGAAGCTTACTTTTCATATTTTGGTGTGAAGCTTGAATATCAATGTGGTTGGGTGAAGAGTTCAAGTGTAGATCTAGCAAGGTTACCCTATTTCTGGACCATTGTGAGTATAAAGCTCAAATCTTGATATTTAGTTTGTTAGATCTTGGATGATGCCCTTTTATGGCTTATTTTGCCTTTTGTGTGGGATCTTGGTGTTGGATGGACTCCAACACCTTTCATGCATTATATGATGCTTCTAGGACCTTATGAGTTGATAAAGTTTGGACCTTTACCCTTCTCTTCAAGCCATGCAAGCCTTGGTGATGCTTTAGGCTATTTTGTGTGCAAAAACCTTGGATATTGGAAGTTGTGGCCTTATAAAGGATAAAGTTGGAAACTTTATCCATTTAGACATCATATTTATTCAGATCTAAAAGTTAAAGACTTAGACTTGCTAGTTTGAGACTTGAATAATGCATTTTTGGACTTTATGAGACTTTAAGTTAAGATCTTGTTTGTTATGGAAAGGCTTAATGGATAAAGTTGAAACTTTATCCGTTTAGACCTTATAGTTTTCCACAGTCTGGATGGTTTTTCTGCTCAGAGGTTTCACATGGAAAGTTTTTTGCTACATGTGAACTATTTGGTCATGTTATTGATTGTTGGAGTCAAGTGTTGAATCTTGATGAAAGTAAGCATGCACCAGAATCTCCTCTGAGAGTTTATTGCAAGACAAAGTTGACGGTATACTTCATTAATATTCATTGTTGATTAAACTATATGTTAAATATAAATTCTTAAAAAAAAACTAATGACTTTTTAAAAACTACATTATAGAATTTGTATCTTGAAGGTAAGTTATCAGAAAGTAAACGCAAAGCTAAATTCCTAGAGAATCTTTTGCTTTCTATTGAAGATATGGACTCAACCCTACGTTATGTTGGATTGGTAAGATACATATCTGAACATATTATTACTTTTTTGTGTTAATTTATTAATAATCATATATAAATATAAAATAAAATGAATACATTTAAATTACTCCATTTTACAGCTTTTCCTACCGGTTGTCCGTTCCTTCCACATTTTCCTTTTTGTGATCAATCTACAACACCCAGAGTTTGTAATCACTAACAACATCAAATTTGATGATCCTATTGATGTCAGATATGGTCAATTGCTCCAGATCATCGTAAGTGATCAATAAAAGTTACATTAATTATTAAATAACATTTCATATATGTTAACAACTTTTTTTAACATTTTCAGAAAACGTACATACTTGATTACTTAAGATCTCAGAATCATCCAAAAACTAAGATGTTTTCACATGTGATGCCACATAGACTAGAAATGCCTTGGAGTACAATAAACAACCACATTGATTGTGGTGTGTTCACAATGCGTTACATGGAAACATATATGAGTGGAAGTATGAATGAGTTTAAAGTTGGATTCAAGAACGAGTTTCCTGCACAAGATGATCAACTTGCTAAGTTGAGGACAAAATATTTATACAAAATCATCACTCATGAATATAATGTGCATAAGGATTCTGTGCTTCAAAAGGTTGATCAATTCCACAAGATTCCTTCAAGACAACGCTCTGAACTGGTGAGTATTATTGCAAAGGAACAAATTCACACAAGATTGGATGATTTTAGTTAATTATGTTCAGAATATGCCTTTAGTTATGACTTTAATGGTTTCTTTTGGTATCTTTAAAACAATGGTTTTGTATGTGAAGAATATTAAGTTTGTTTGTAGAACGTACAAAGGTTTCTTTTGGTTTGCTACTTTATAATGGAATGATAAGTAATATTTTCATCTTTATATTTATGGTTAATTTTACATTAATTTTTGAATAATTAAATAAAAAATATATTGTGTCAAACATTTATGATTAACATGATTGATATCGTATTCACATTATTGTTACTTTATGTTGTGTTGTTTGTAAGTATTTTGCATATTATTATTCATTTGTGATTAATTTCTATATTCATTCAGTTCTGATTATTACAAACAAACATTTATTAATATAATATACTATTAAATCAATATAATAAAATGTTTTTTTAATTGGAATGACAATAACAATGATTGATGTTAAAATTATATTTTCCAAATGGATAAATATAGTTATTGTAAACCAAAACTGATTTGACATACGAACGGAGTATTTAACATTTTTGACAACATTATTTTGTTATGATTTGGTTTGTTTAAGTAAATTATAATTTAAAGTATGATTCATTGATGTTTTTTAAATAGTATTCATTATTGAATATAACAAAGGGTGAAAAATGAATGTTGTTAAAGTAATGACTAAACTATATCAAAAAACAAACATGAAATACTATATCAACAAACAAACATGTAAAATAAATCCATAAATGATATAAAAGTGTTTTAAGATAAAATAACGTAATGACTCATGGAACCATCTGCTTATTCATAAATCTAATAGAAAAAAGAAAATCAATTGCGCAAATTAATGGGCCATTTTAAGGTTGTTTTGACTCTTGTGCAAGTATGATTTTGCATGTCCTCCAATTATGGTTAACATATTGATTGCAACCCGTGCAAATTTTAGTATTTTTCTTTGCAACTGCAACAACTTTCTCAGTGGCACTAACCATTGTTTTCTTAGTTCCACTCTCTTTGGTACGTATTGCTGAAGGTGGATGGATATTTATTTTTTCAGGAATGCTGCATATTCCTAGCATTCGAATGATTTCTTCTTCTTCATTATCAGATGATGATTGGTTTGACCAACCAAATTCCATTGCTGCCTGCTTCAAGATACGCGTGTTCTCAACAAAAGCCAACAATTTCTCCTTACGTCTTTTGAAATGATCCAAGCAGTATTCAATATTACTGTAAGCCTCTGTTAGAAGTTTAAAGGTGTCATCTTCTGTTTCCATAGCAACATGTTTCATGGCAAGCAAATGGCTGGAAGTTGCATCCCTTCTCCATCTTATGAGAATATACTGCTCTGGAATCTCTTCAATATGGTTGTTCTTCAAGACAACAAAATATGTCGACACAAAATGCTTGTACGTATAAAATGATTGCATGAACATTTAACTTCTTTTTCAGGCAATTTTAGTTCAACCTACATTGTAGATGAAAAATATGATATGTCAGTAAGTGGTTGAATTAACATATTAGTCGGTGGTTATTACATAATATTTAAACAAGTACTATTTATTTATAAATAATGATAATATATACTTGTGTAATCATCAATGAATATGATGTCAAATATGAATAATACCTTGCATTTTATCTTCAATTGTTTTGCTCTTATCCATTTGTGTAATCATAACAACTTGCCATCCATCTATCATTTCAACACTGTCAATAGAACAGTACCAAGCTGCTTTAAATATTTCCTTTTTGACCTCATAGAAAACCGGTTTTAGTGTAAACCACAGCTGCATGTTCTACTAAGCCAGTTGGAAGCGTCAGTTCATGGTTTGCATTTTTTGTATCATGTTCTAGTTTCTGTTGACCATTTCATTGCTTTCCAATTGCGGTGTCGTAGTTCATCATGAAATAAATAAGCAAATTACCAGAGTTAGAGTATTTATTAAAAAATGAGTTTACACTTTCAGACCTTGAAGTAGTTTTCATCAGACCATGTGGTGGCATGTCTTTAAAATAAGCTGGAATCCAAAGCTTTCGATCCTTGTACATGTCTTTGAACCATCTTTTGTCTTGTAATTTAAATTTTCTCATAAGAACTTTCCACCTTGATTCAAAGACTTTAGGCTCTATATAGACATTCCAAACAAGCTTAGTAAAACGCTTTCGAAAATCAGTGGTTTTCAAAAAAATCCGCTGAAACCTAAAAAAAAAACATTACACGTTGATAAGATGATCTATGAATAAACATGTTCTGTGCTAATCGTTTGTGCAAAAACATAAGCTGTTGTAATCATTATTGAATAAAACAGGTTGTGTGTTAACATGAATTAAATATACATACCTTAGCTTGTATTTTTTTCATAATGTGCTACATACATAATCTGTGATTAGAATTAGGAAATATTGCTTCAACCGCCTGTATAACAACTGGATCTTGGTCTGTTAATACTAATTGAGGGTGTTTTCCATGTGCTTTCAAAAAAGCTTCAAGCAACCAATAATAAGATTCTATTGACTCGTTGCTTAACAAACCTGCTCCAATGTTTATTGAACGTTTGTGGTTATCAATGGCTGTAAAGGGAACAAAAATCATTCCAAACCTGTATTAAAAATTAATTAAAAACAAATTCACCGGTTATTAAAAACTAAATAAAATAACAATATTCATAATTAAAGTAAAAAAAATATAAAACTATAAGATCATACTTATTTGTTCAGAATGTAGCATCAAATGAGATCACGTCCCCAAACTCCTTGTAATATAACTTATCGGTTTCATCTGCCCAAAACATTGTGTTTAACACACTATCAACACATTTATACTCAAATGTGTAATTAGGTAACTCATCTTTCCTCATGTTCATTTTGTCAACAACCAGTTGTGCATCCTTGTCACCTATAATGTTTCCCATCTTCCTTCTAAAATTTTTATAATCAATGACTTCAGGGCCAACATTTTCATAACCTCCTTGCAAACTAGCTTGTAACTTATGTGCCTTTGTTGCACCAATGTTAGATGTTGCGGAACACACTATAAACTCCTTGTCTTTATAACTAAGTCGTCGTGCACGTTTGGAATACCGTCTTTCTTCTTTAGTATCTAGGGGGTGGTTGTGCTTCTCTTCGAACTCATATATTTTACAAGCATTAGTTCCAATATGTGGTCGTTCAAACTTTATCAATGCCTTGCAGTCTGTGATTCTGAAGTTTGAGTTTCGTTTATTCCTACCACTTCCCTCAGGATCCAAAGTGTCAGGTGATCTGTTAGGTATTTTACCCATTTTGTTGCACACTACATACCTTATTTTAATGGTTTTGTCACCAAACCTCGTTATTGTATTTAACTTGACACCAAAACATGCTTTATCTGCATATAATTTATACATTTCAACTGCCTCCTCTAATGATTGATAAGTAACATCTACATCTGACATAAATTCTTTAGGAACAATAGGTTTCCACAACTTGGTTTTTCCACCAGGCGAGTCAACAACATTACTATTGAATGATTCTTCTTCAGAATCAGATCCATTTATACCTATTTTTTTAGACAACAAAACCAATAATGAGACATAATATACATTTAGATTCATTCAATATTCATGAACTAAACCATAATTTGATCATAATCAACATGTGTTTAACAATAATCAAAATTGAAGTATTTAATCATTTGAAAATAAGTAACAGATGTACAACAATGCATAATTTACTTCATATATGATTATAATACACGCATTGCAATAAAATAACAGAAAAAACAATGTTACATTAACGTAAAGAATTCATCATGTGATTATGATATACATTCAGTTTCATTACTTATTCATGTGTATAACAAATGAATCACATAAGTCATTGCTGATTATAATACATGAATCTAATAAAAATAAAGAATATTAATGAATCATATACTTCAATGGTGATTATAATACATGAATTGCAAACAAAATAACAATATTAATGAAATGTGATTTTTATTTGATAAAAAAAACAGGAGGGCTCCCACAACATGATTTGTATGTAAATGATATTGATAATGTTACATTCACTCGCATTATCATAGTATTGATTTATTTCGCTAGATTGATCGTCCGATTGATAATTATCGTCTTCATAATATTGATTATTGCCGATTGATTGATTGCCATATTGATCATCATCGTCGCTATTGCCGCTACTATAATCAAACCATTCCATCCTCGATTTTGATTTGGATTAACAAACATATCAGTTCTTATCGATTTTGATTTGGATTAACAAACGTATCAATTCTTATTTTGCATGATAATCGATGTTACTGATGCAAATGTCGATGGACTAAGAATCTTCAATTAGATAGAAACCATATCCTCAAATCAACAATATTTATGGAATATCCCTTAATTGTAGGTACAGAATAATGGATAATATATGAATTATTAATTATATTAAATACAAAATTACTTATATGCCCTAATTAAACGATTGGTTGATAAGTGTTCTTGCGTTCTCAACATTTTATGTGTTTTCATTTGATCATACTCCTATATATATATAATATATTATATATATATATATATATATATATATAGATATATATATATATATATATATATATATATATATAATTTTTGATCAAAAAAATTATTTTAATATTTTTGTGGTCCACCTGATATGATATAATCGTTACTGTAATATATGTGGATTGTCGACATTTTTACCTACACATTCTATATACGAATTGCAACGGAGTTACCTCACAAATTAAAGTTATGTTTTCGTTTCTTATATAATTTCTTTTTATAAATTTCTTTTTTATTATTTTTCTTAAGATATAATTTCAAGCTTCATTTTTTTTTTCTGCGTCCTCCATACTTAACTGTTTAGATTGAAACTTTATTTTGATACTTTTATGATCTACTTGATATGGTTTAATCATTGTCGTGTTTTACGTGGACTCTTGACATTTGTAAATCACATTATATATACGAATTACAAAGGAGTTACATGGAGCATCAAACTACATTTTGGCT